TGATGGCACTCAGGATGACTTGTTCCATCACAATGAACAAGTCATTTATCACAGAAATACATTTTCCTGAAACACCAGTCATTTACAAAGAGGGATTTCTAAGTGAGAAGGAGATACTCACATGCTGCTGTCTGTCAGACAAGATTTTCCAAAGTCGTGAAAAAAGCTGTATCCAAGTCTTCTCTGCTAATGGTGTAGAAATGTGACATAGCTGAACAAAGGCACTCAGCAACGCTCCAGTCTAGAAACAAAAAGAAAGATGTATATAAATGGGAAAAATATAATTAATACCATGAAACAATAGTTCACAGTTCTACAGCTGTTTAAGCAGTGATGCAAATGCCTTTTCCAACCAACATATCAAAAATATGTTTCCTTTAGCAATACAGACAACGGTAACAAGAATTTAATCCTATTTTCATGTTGATTGAGGCTCTAATTCATTACTGTAACAGTTATTAAAAAAAGGAAAAGGAAAAAGGAAAGAAGTTAATTACTTTGGTAATAGGAAGTTAATTGGATAGAGCTGTTATTACTGTAAGAATTATTTCAACATAGTTTTCAGCTAAAATTATCTTCTTAGAAACTATTTAAACATAAGATGCCAATATACTTTTTTGATCCTGTCTTTGCCATCACTACTTCCTTAAATGAACAGTTTTTAAACTGTATTTGCTACAGTTACACTTGGAAGAGGAGAAGATTTAACTTTGTAGAATAGGAATAAAGCAACAGCTTGCGATTAACTGAAAGTTTAAAAATTTTTTACCCTATGCAAATAAGAAGTTAATCTGACTATAAGATATGTCTACAGAAAAAAAAAAATCAGCTGAAAAATCAGAAGCCTGAGATAGAGGATTAAAAAAAAAAAAAAAAAGCATATCAGGTCAGTTTGAAGCTTTCAGTATTGAAATGATTTGTCAGGAAATCAAGGACCTGTACCAACCTTCACTTCTCGAAGAGAGTCAAGAAATTTGTCATGGCGGTTGGTCAACATGTGCAGCTGATTGCCAATGTCCTTCTCAGAAAGTTCCTTAGTTTTAGGTGTGCTGGTCTGATCTCCCGGAGCCAACTCAATGTCTATTTCAACATCCTATATAAAAGTAAACAATTCAAAGCACACAGATATTTTCTAATTAGTTTTGTTATTTTCCAAACAAATACACAATACCCTTCCAATCAACTTATTTCAAGTCTCACTTTTAATCTCTGCTAGTTCTTCAGGCACAGATACAGAATTGCTATAGTGCTACAGTAAAGAAAAAAAAAAAAAGCTAAATGAATGAACGCAAGTTCTGAGAAACCCATGCATGTTTAAAGGACAATATATTAGACACAAGATATACTGAACAATCTGTGCAGAACACCTTCAAGACATATTCACCAAACCTATTTGATAAGAAACTAGGAAGAGCCATGTTCCATAAAAAAAAAAATTCTCTCTCTACAATATTTTCTCTAAGTTACCTCTTCTTTGGATTCACTGTTTTCCCTTTCGCGAGGCTCTTGTTTCACATGGGTTACCATAGCAAATGCCGCTCTGTCATGGCTGTCTGCAAGGTTGATAACATTGGTGATAGAGGGCAGCATAGCACCCTGGCAGCTTGTCCCAATTGTAGTGTTTCTCTCACACACCGCCAACAGGAGCTAAGACATTAAAAAGCAAGGAGAGTTCTTAAATATACATTTACTGTAGTATTTCAAGGAAAACATAACCATGGTTTAAAATTTATCAAGAAGATAGAAGTTGAAATGATATGTTTAAGGCCTATCTGTCATCCTTAGTCAGTAAACACAGTAACACATTTTCATCTTAATCTGATTGCATTTTGTCACCATTTTGAAGTTCATGATTATACTTTCAAGATTTTAGGAGAGGCTTCAAAAGCCTCTTCCAGAAAATATTGAAGAAAAAGGAATCTTCTGAGCCTAAATTCTGTATTTTGTACTTTTTAACATGTGTATTAAGTGCCCTCAATCAACTAATGTATACGGACTCTGCCCATTACAATTAAAAGTCCTCTCAAAAAGGATGTGAAAGAAAACCCCACAATGCTTTTTCTTCTCTCTCTGGAAGGAGTTTTAATACTTTTAAGAATACAAAGTTATCCTTACAGTCACTTTAAATTCATGGTGGGTTTTTAGTGGGTTGTTTTGGTTTGTTTCGTTTTCTGTATTAAAAAACGTTTGATACCACCTTGTTTTAAATAAACCAACCAAAAATGTGATTTCATTCCAGTGCAACCCCAACAGCAGAGCAGACACTCTAGCTTTAATGGTTTTCTTGAAATCATCTACTATAACAATTCTTGTATTTTTTATCATCACCATCATTTCTAGGAGATAGATTTGCTTCAGTAATATTAACCTGGTCATTAAGCTTTTGCAGAGAAAATAGACAGTAGAGGTTGATATTAAAGCCACTTTCCAAGCATCAGTATCTCGTAGTTTAGACACTATTTTTAAGCACCACCGAGGCAGCAGACTTGGTATCTTTAGCTTTGATACAGGTAATACATAATACAAGAAATACAATGCATACTGCTTTTACACTCAGCCAAGAAAAATTAGGAATAAAACATATTTCTCTAATTATAATTGTATTTCTGAAACAAATTATTTACCTACCTCAATGCACTGTTTTATCCAGAAGTGATTTCCCATTGCTTCCCAGTTTTGAGAACACGTCACATAAAGCAGGCGCTCATAAACACGACGTTTCATAGAATTGTCAAAGACCTCAAAAAATTTGGCTCGTATGAGTGGCTGCGCACAACGCAAACCCGAAAGAAATGCTGGTTCAAGTTTAGCAGTGAGTTCACTGCCAGAAAGATTCTCATCCCTAAAATGAATGAGGTTAAAATGACAGAAACATTAGAAAGACAAACCTTCCAGGTTTGTAATTAAAATACTGAAAATCAAAAGAGATGATGTTCTGTAGATGCCCACATGGTGTGGCACGCACCCAGGTGCAGCATTTTGAGAGAAACAGCAATAAAAATACTGCTACTTGTTAGAAGACTGCCCTAGAACTATCATAAAAATTCTTTCAGGATAAAATCTTATCATAATTGTGAAACAATTTCAGCCACATCTGTATCTTGTTTGAAATGCAAATAATAATGATTGATTAAAACTTCTGACCACTGTTGTTGGACTCTATGACCTTAAAGGTCTTTTTCCAACCAAATGATTCTATGATTCAATGTTCACACCAGAGCTTTGCACAGTTAACCAGAAAACAGAATAGCAGAAAACAGTAACTCAAAATAATATTAATCATCAGCACAAAATTAAATACTTGGCATTTTTTTATAAGGAAACTATCGTAATTATTTCATCACGTTACAAAACCCAACAGTTTAGCTGGCAAAGTAACCCTCCTGAAAATATAATTAACAATATATTTCAAATTAAAAAAAAAAAAGAAAACAAAAAAACAAAAGAAAATTATACTCTATAGATGGGAAAAGGCAGACAGATTTCAGCCATCATCACAGTGCTTAGAACACAAGCTACAAGGATGCCCTGGTATCTTGGGAAAGGAAGAGATTGGGGTGGTAGAAATATTTTAGCCAAGCCAAAAAGAAAATCCTTTCTAAGGAACTTCTATTTTCAAATTGTCTTCCATAAGTACATACTTTGGTCTCAGTGAAATGAATTGATTTTGCATTTTAGAAATAAAAAATTAAAAAAAAATTAAATTCGTTTTATTCAGACCTAAAAAGACTGATGACAAGTTATAAAGGTCATATATGGTACAAATTATGAACCAATAAGCTGCAATAAATGATTAATTGCTATAATTACCTATAGACATAGTTAACAAGGTCTAAGAACTGGGCATTTAATTCAAGGTCTTCTGGAAAACGCTTTTCAACGTAAGTCATCATTTTCACTAGTAAAATAGACTTCTCCCGGAGAGTAGGTGTCTGTGTTAAAAGAAGACATGATTAATTTTGTCAATTCATCTTAAAGCATGCAGAGACCTGGCACATTAAAAGTACCCCTCAGCCATCCTTATATCATTCTTTCACTTCTAAAGTACTGAAAAATAGCTTGGTAGAAGGTCATAGTTCTTAAAAAGAAAAATAAATAACTCAAGCATTTATCCTTCTAAATATATGCTAGAGAATTTTAAAATTGTGACTGAAAACAGGTTTAAGTTTTTTGATGACTACAAAAATCTAATGTATATTTTAAAAGGCGTAGATCCTTTCATACAGCACTAGATTGTCAAGTACTCAACTCCAGCAGAAAATACGGCAAATTCAAGAGGCCATAAAAATGTTACAGGAATAACACGACTTAAACCAGCATTAGTCATCCTCCTCCTGAAGAACCTCTCTATCCAAGTTAATGTGGAATATATTTTAAAACTTTTACTTTAAAAGAAGTTCTTAGCAAAACAGCACTTGAGATCAAACACCTAATACAAGCCTATAAAATGCTAAGCATCTTTAACCCCAGCTGTCTTCACAGGGAATGCAAAATACTCCAAACCTCATTGAGGGCATCTAAACGTATATAAGAGATCCTTACAAACCTATTCTAGGTGATCCTGCTCTGGCAGGGGGGTTGGACTAGGTGATCCTTCAAGGTCCCTTCCAACCCCTAACGTTCTGTGATTCTGTGAAACCTCACTGTCAAAAAGTGATGAATTGCAGCACTGGCTCACAGTTATTTAGTATTCGAGAGTAATAATGATTTTATCTTCTCAATTTACCTGATTAGCTGCCATTGGGGAATTGTTTTTCACCCACTCTTCTACTATTTTCACCACTGCACGAAGAATTTTGGCATCAGTAGATTTTTCAATGAGAGATGTTAGAATAGCTTGTATAAAATTTTTCCTCATTTCCATGCTCATCACAGCCAGCCGAGTTTTCACAAGATCCAGGCTTAGCATTACCAGTTCACTTGTACCTGCTATGGATGCAAAAAAAAGGATCGGGATTGTGTATAGGCCTATAAAATGCCTAGCTACAAAATTCTGAAGATAAGCTATTGTAATTTTTCAAAAAAGCAACAACAGTATTTGTTACCTGGAAATATATCCCTAGAAATAATGCTTTCAGAATTATTACTTCCCAATCCTAAGCCATTAGGACATGAGACAGACTCCTTCCAAAAAACCACCCAAACCAACCAATCAAAGTCCTAAAGGCAAGCCTCTGTAGTTTCATTTCAGTAAGCCTCCAGTAAAAGGTATTACAGAACTCCAGCACTGAAAAACTGCAATTAAACTTGTGAAAGAAATATTATGTGATGCAGCACATCTATTCTGTTTAGTTCATTTCCTGACTTGCTTATCTGTCAAGTTCAATAATTTTCCAATTGTTTCTCAGTGTTAATAAAATTTGCAAGGTTCTCATTTACTTAATTAAAATATGAGCTAGGAATCTAACAGCAGCAATTCTTTCCAAGTATTTTCTTCAGTAGCATACTCATTAATAAATTACTGTGCTCTTTACTAGCACTGAATTGTTTTCTACAATAACATCAGATCTTTTATATGACTCATGACTGAATTCCTCTGATGATAGACAGAATTGTACAGACTGAAATAGATGCTATTTTAAGATAAAAACAAAAGCATCAGCTCCAACAAGTTGATTCCACAAACAGCTGTTCCAGTATTATCAAATAGGAAGGAGTAAAAGCGAAAGCACGAAACAATCTCTCCCTTCAACCTTATAAACTCTCAAAGAGCTTCGGTATTTCTATATATGCTGTAGCTCAACAAATATTCACGAACCATTCACTGAAATGTTTGTGTTAATACTGAAATTCTTATGCTAAGCAGGTAACGAACTCAAAGTGCAATTTGATCTTTCAATACTTCAGCGACATTTCTCACTAATTGGAGTATTTTTCAACATGTAATAATGCACACAAAACTCCACAAAATCATTTGAATTCCTTTAGGATTAACACATGTCGATACTGTACAACATGTCTAATCATTAACATCCTTAGGTTGTATCCTGCAATACCTGTATTTGCTTCTGCTGTTCCTGCTGTAGCCTGTGGGTTTAAGTGTTCCCTGACCATCTTCTGCAGAGACCGCATAAATACTGAAATCAATCTGTCAATGTAGCTGGGATTGTTACTGCACGCAGACTTCAGAATCATTAATGTACCTATAGATAAAAACAATACTTAGGATGTCAAACTTTTATTGAGCATGATCTGAATAAGTTAAGTTTTCAGTGTGGATGTTCTCATTCTATGGAAGAGCAGAGAGCACAGGAAAACGCTGTGTTTGTCCTGCCATAAAAAATGCACGGGTCTACCCAAGTTACTAACACGACAAATCTGGATAGATCTGAAGAAAAAAATTCAGTCTTAACTTTAGTCTAAGACAAAAAAGCTATTTTTGCATTAATCAAAACATTTGAAAGTTCTGTACATAACCATGGGATGCAAGGCAAGGGGGAGAAGGGGAAAATAAGAGAGGGACTGAGAGCAGATACAAGTCCCCACTCCAGGCAAAATGAAAGTCCTCCTAGTATTGCACATTTGTTTTAGTAGCAAAAAGTAGCAAAGCCTTTACATGAATAGGCCTGGGTTTAGTAATTACAAATAATTTTTTAAAAAATTATAAAGTTTCTAGATTAGAAAAAGCAAGATGGTGTAAAGTTTCATAAATCAGTTACCGCAGATTGAAAAAGTTAACACTGTTGAATCTGGTAACTTCGGCACAGTTTATGAATGCTTATGATGCCTACAAGATCAGAGTCCCTTCACATTACACATTGTTATTAACAACGCCTATCCTAATACAAGCTTATATGTCTACATGCAAACCAATCAATTTTAGCAATATCTGTGCTTTAACTCTTTAAAAAATAAGTATATACAACCTGTCAAGCTATACCTTCCAAAAAGCCTACAGCTATCCCTCTCCTTACCACACCTTTACAATTCAAGAAAAGCCTAGCACGATATTTATAGAAGTTTGCTTTGTTCATTGAATGGCTGCTTCAAAAGTTTTTATTTCTTTTCCTGCTCAGATGTGCACGAAACCTGGTACACAAAATTCAGCCTCTTAAACACCAAATTAGTAAGATTTGCACCACCTGACGGTTAGATTGTAGTGCTGCTTTTAAGAGACCTTTAGAGACAGTGTAAGAAACATCTTTCTTGGTTAGTTTGTCGTAAAGCACATCCTGACATCTGACAAATAGGCAATTCCCAAAGCAAAATTACAGCTACCTACAGAGATCACAGAGTAGAATAGTGAAGGACATTTGCCATTTAAATCAGCAAGTTTTCCGAAACTGTGCAATTTTAGGTCTGTATTACCAACACAATCAGTACTGGGCCAAACTGTATTATTCCCATATATTTGTTGTTGTATTATGTAGCTGAGCCATATCTCTACCAGTTAGATTTTAAGTATGAAGACAAGAAGAACATTTCAGCTCTTCAGAACAGTGTATGTTAAAAATTCAGATTTGCTCACTCTAGAAAAAGAACAGTATTTCTGTAATTTCTTACCTAGTGAGAATTCAAGATCTATTAATAAATAAATCTTCCTACACTAATTAAATCAGCTGAAAAATGAGGCTTTAAAAACAACTGAAAAAGACAGTACAAGGCAATAACATGTAAGAATGTTTACACAGATTCCTTGAAATAGTCTATGGTATCTCAGAGTAGTACCAGCAGGATTTTGTTTTTTCCATGTAACGAGTTTCCAGTTAATTTTTACTTTATATTTTGGTTAATCTGAATGCTGCATCTTTTTCCTATGCACTTTGAACACAGGTTTCCATCTAGCACAATTGCAGCTCCCCACTTCCAGTAACTGCTCCCATGTCAGCTACTAGGAGAAGACAGAACGCAATGAACCCCTCAGTCCCTTTCTCCACAGAGGAGACATCCCAAGCTCGTCTCTCAAGTCAGCTCCAAATGCCTCCCACAGCTTCCTCTGCATGACGTCAGATTTCAGTTTCCTTATGGAAAATAAGAGCTTGTAACAAAGATCATACTCATTAAGGGGCACTCTACATACGTCTACTAGAGATGTGGGAAACCTACCAAAAAGCTGAGAAGGGTTAGCATTAGTGGCTTTTTCGTAATTAGTAAGTCCTTCATAAATAACCTTTCCAACTGCAGCATAGAGGCACTCCAGCTCTTCATACTTTGATGCTACACTTGAGGTACCTGCAGAGTTGAGAGAGTTGTGTTTACTTTTGGTAACATTAGCGACAGAATAGGTAAGGAACATACAGTCATCTATACCATCATATCTTGCTAATAAACCAAGGTAGTACAAACAGATCTCTCATTTATATAAACCTCTTTATTATACAACCAATGTTTCTTCTATAATAGTGTGCCACTACTTCTAAATAACTCATTTTATGAGAAGTCTTAGATTGCTAATTTTTTTAAATAAAAGATTATCTAAATTAGTTTATATTAAGACACCGCATATTACCTATTGTCTTTCTTTTTACACTGTCTCCCTTCCTTGTTTCAGCAAAACAGAAAGCTTAACAACTAAAAAATTGGACTTCCGAAGCTGAAAAATTATAATTGCAAAAATGCATTAAATTTATAGCATGAATTTCTTGAACGAAAGTTATGACAGCCACAGGTTATTAAGTTTTTCTGTCAACGGATAATGATGTATTCCACATGATTATTTCAGCTTTTCTTTTTTTAAACAGAGGTTGAAAGTGCAAGCTAAAATGGACCATTAAATGGAGGAATCATAAAACAGAACATTAGCACATTTCAAAAAGTGTTTTCACCCTGCCCTTAATCGTTTAAGTTATGCAGCAATAAAGGATAAAATGAAGGAGAAAACACCACGTACTTTGGAAAATACCCATCAAGCGAGAAAGCAAACTGTGGACAGCTCTCAAAACCTTGGTGTTCCCACAAGTCATACAAGCTGCTACACCTCGCTGCAGGGGTTTGAAGCTGCTGAGGACAGCAGGGGGCTGCAGTACAGTTAACAGGAAACTTAAGACCTCTAAGCCAGTGCAAATGTTGGCAAAGTTGGCCTGATTGGGTTGTTCCTAGAAAGTACAAATACAAAAAGGCAGTGAGTGGGGGAAATCACACAAGTATTACACAGGTTAGCAAGTCCAGACAAAATCTCTTGAAAATCTGTAATAAGGTTGAGGTTTCTATATTAACAATGTTTCACATCAATCTTTTGGATAAGTCATGCAATATAAAACTAAAATACAAGGCACTATAAAATCTTTAACTATAGAGATGTTACTTAAGCATTTATAGGTATGTTCCTTTTCGTGTTTTTTGTAATCCTCAGTTTTGAAATTTGCCTGCAACCTTGCTGGTTAGAAACGCAGTCAAGAGAAGATTTTGTTTTACCTCCCTTTCGGTGAACTTCATAGTACCACAGCATAGTCAGAAAGCCAAGAACCAACAAAATTCATCTCAATTTGTAAAACTTTCCACTAAACAATTAAAAAAAAAAAATGCAACCACCAACAAGTACACCACCCACACAAGCAATCCACAACCTATTTCAAAATCAGACGCACACAGTAAGGTACTCCACCTGCTCCTAATTCTATTTTAATATTTTTAAGTACTGCAGCTATACAAATTATAACCATTGATGCAATTCACCATATGTATATATTTCACTACAAATAATAAAAGATTAAGACTGTAAAAGTTAGTATCCAGGTATCACTAGTATTCAATCAACATCTGTGCTAGTGAAACCTAAAGACCTACAGGACTAGAATGTTACCTACCACAGTCATTAGCAGCTTATCAAACCACTGCAACTTCAGTTCTGATTTTGGCCACATGTCTGGTCGTAAAGCTGTTTTCAGAAGGTTGACACATCGGCGAGACAGCAATTCCCCAGGAGACCCAGCAGTGTTTGAGTTGTCATTTACCTAGCAATTACTCAGAGTTAACAAATGACACCCTTTTGTAACCAACTCATTAATTTATTATTCATTCCAAGCAAGCATATGATTTCTTATTTCTGAAATGGATGAGCTTAAGCAGTTTTATCAGTACAGTCACAGAGTATTTAACTGCATGAAAAGCTTACAACTAATATTAAACATCAGAAGTGGTGTCTAATCTGCTAGCTAATTATCCCAAATCACACATCAAAGGTATATTTTAAAAAAGTGTAATCCCATACATTATTACTACAACTCTGAACGTGCTCAACATGGTTAATCTTTTCTGTTTGCAATGTATCCATAAACATACATAGCTCTCTACTCAGTTTATCTTTATACTTCAAAAGCACGACTATTCTGCACAATGGACTGTGGTATATAAAAATCACATGTTATTTACCAGTTGAGCCTGCTGGAGAAGCAGAAGTCATAAAATTTGTCAGCTTTGAGCTACACTCAGCTAATTTTCCCCACCCTAGAAAAGTCAATTCTTAACAGAATTTGGTGAAAAGCTTTAGTTCTACATGCTGCATGAAAAGAAGTAATTCCATGTAATCGATCTTGAAAATACACTTACAGCTGTTATCCTTAGACATGTAATTTCCCTATTAGACTTTCTAAACATTCTTCAGATTTTGGATAAAATATTCTTGCCATTAAGTCTAGGCAACAGAATATGGATACTTTGCAGCACCATAAATGAATTAAGAAAAAAAAACACTTAAGGGAACTCTCTGAAGTCTTTGCCTGGCTCCAGTCAAATTCTACGAGTCACGTTTATTTCAATCATGTCACTCCTGATATAGTACTTGCTTGAAAAGAGAAAGCAAAGAACAAACAAAATGCTAGAAGTGATCAATAGCACAGTAGAATAGAGACTCTCTTAATTTCAGAATCTGGATTGCAACTGTTCACGTTTAATTTAATTTCAAAGTGCACACTCCCTGCACCAAGCTATAAACTTACAATGCCAACAATAAGAAGCTAAAGCGTACTTGTCATGTATAATACCCATCATTTGTGAAATGAAAAACAAGCAGAAACCAATTATCAAATTCAATTTCTTTCCTCCTTAAAATAAACACATTTTACTTTTTGTACAATTTCACATGAAGGTTTCTAACCTTTCAGCAAAAGAAAGCAAGCAAACACTAGACTAATTCACGCATAAAAGGACTCTTATGAAAATAAGGATTTATGGTCTTGGCTATTAATGCTGTATTGTTATTTGCATATCAGAATAAACACATTACCTGGCAAGCAATTCTAATCAAGAAATTCACGACTGTATCTGTATGCTGCTTGTCAATTGGCTTGGAAAGAAGTGCATCAGCTCCTGGCAAGGACTGGCTACGTCCAAATACCTGCATGTATGCAAAACACAAAAGCCATAAGCAACATTGAAGAAGGATAACAACAAGCAGAACACATTTAAAATATTCTAAAAGTACAAACTTCAATTCAGGGAGTTTCAAGTTACGTGGAAAAAACAAGTACACTACATTGCTTTGTCAGTGTAGCTTATAATTTCAGAGTCTCTAAACAAAACCTGAATTTTTCTTACAGCACTTATTGCTCCTGTTGCTGTCCTGAATCGTTTTACTTCTTGGCCAGAATCAACAGACAATCCTCTTTTAACAGCGGATGAGGCAGAACTTGCTCCTTCTCCACTTGCACTTGAATCCATATCTGAATCTGGCTGAAATATCAGAAATGTGCATGTTAAAACAGCATTCAACTGCATAGCAGCTCAATCTTTACCAGTTTAGTCTTCCTACCTGCTGGTCTTTAATTCTTTGCAACTCCCATTTAATAACTACTTCAGCAAGATCCACAGCTAATTTTCTTTGCTCTATGGTAACACTGGGAGTGAAGCCCAGTCTCTGCATGGCACTAACCATATGCTGAACCAAGTGATGTCTCACTGGATAATAAACCTGAAAAGATGGTTTCACAGTCATGTTAGCCATTAACCAATAAAATGCCACATTAAAACCACAGAGTTGAAATAAAGCAAAATGGTAAAATAGTCTTTAATCCTAAAGTTTGCTAAATCTGTACCATGTTCACATTTTGAAATCCAGAAAAGTAACTGGCGCTTTGAAAATAGAATTTTGGCTACTCAGTGACTACTGATTTCCTGTACCCAAATGAAGATGCTCTTTATAAGATACACAATTTTTCTCAAGGACAAATCATTCAAACTTCTTGTTGATCCTTTTAGAGAGCTAAAACTCACACTTGAACACATCCAGATATTTTTTCAAAAAGCACTGAGGCATTGACTCCTGAAAAGTAACTTAAACGCATATTAGTTAGCTGTCACTTTGACTCATATTTTAATATGCATTTTCAAAAATGCCCCCATATTGACATTCTGCAGCATTCCCCCATTTGTTTAGTGTTTTTCAACATACATTAATTAGCTGAAGATAAAAGTTAACATCACTGAATATCTAGTCAAACAAACGAGGATTACTGGAGGATGAAAAAGAATATGGTTCTGCACTTTTTTTAAACAACTCTTAAAGATTCATCACAGCTCTGTTAAAGAGCACTGCTAATGCACGTGCAATGAATTAATCGTGCAGACTTTCGCCTAACATTTTGAGTTCTAACTTTAATCATGATAAGGCTTAATAAGTGGTTTGCTATTTAATTTTAATAGTTGTTTACACAGTTTTAAATAAGTATCTTTGCAGACAGCTGATGCCTTTTGAAGCTAAACCATATAAATTAGAATACACTATTTTCTAATCAAACTGCAGTTTGCCTCCTTGATATCTGAGATACAGTGATTACCAAAATGACCGGTACACATACCTTGAAATGCTGTACTATCAAATGCAAAATATGTACTAGTTGGGGAACTGTATGACCCTCTTCCACAATGATTTTTCGAGTCCAGTGAGTCAGCATCTGATGTCCATCCTCCATTCGAGCAGGCACAGCTGGGGTCAGAATAGCCATGGCTTGCCTGACAATAGCTCGGGCCTCCATCGCATGAGCTTTTAGGAGACTGTGAAAAACCTAAACAGAAAAGGTTCTGATCAACATTAATATTATACCTACTTACAAAAATAAAGCACTTATAAAGAAACTACAGCATGCATTTTCTGAACAACACAACTTTTTCCTAAAGGCCCACAATTTGGTGAATATGTGATGATAATTCATCATCGGAAGCATACTGTGTGTACTTCTGTCTCCTTTACATTCCCTTTTTCTTCCTCCCTCTCCACTGTCCAATTTTAAGTTTTCCTTTGGTCCCCACATTCTGTCTCAACTGAAACGTCTGTCTCTTACATGAAGAAACATTACCAATTTTGTTAATTCAACCAAAAGGATTCCTTATTGTCCCATTTATCCTCTCTGTTTTCACTTATCTTTAAACTTCTTTCTGTAGTCTCCTATCCCCAAATGAATTTGTATTAATATGTGGTTTGCTGCTTCTGTATTTGTGTGTTGCATATGAATTTAACTCTTACTTTTATACTAAGTATCCAAAATTACTGTGCACACTCTACTCTGCATTTTTAAATAAAAGAGAGCACGCTACAGACCTTATCAATAGCCCTTAAGTGTATGAATACACGCCCATAATCCATACCTGCAGAACTATCTTCTTATGTATGGCAAATTTTGCAATGATGTGTGCCAAAAGCAAATGTCCACTGTATTTGCATGCTGGGTCCACACATGCCTTGGACAATAGGCAAGGCCAAGCAAATGTCATTAGACGTCGTAGTTTGCTGTTCCTGTTTTTGTTATTGTCATGAATGTGATGTGGAGCATGCTCAACCAGAAGTGTGGCAAACTGCAAAAGATATATCCTGAGGGAATCCAGCATATCAGCTTGTTTTTCCGGATCAAGTACCTAGACCAAAGAGGAGAGGAGGCAGGTGAGAAAACATAAAATGAAACAGAACAACCTAACTTTATTATGCGTAAAAACAAAGTCCTAATTTTTTTGATTTTTGAGTGGTTTTTAAGAAGACTAATGACTATAACCACATTGTTAAATTCAGTTTAATACCCACTAAACAACCTCCTGAAGTAAGAGCTTTTAAATAATGAGCACATGTAGGAACTTCCAAAATGTTAATCTACAAAAAAAAAAAAAAAAATAAAAACCCCAACTCTCATCTTCAACAACATCCATTTCATTACTGCCCACTGGTTTGATGAAACTAAAGTGAATTACAAAGATACCAATGTTCAGTCATGGTAAGCTTTGCTTATGGAAGAAGACTAGAAATGGGCCTTGTACGGCTGTAATCCCAAAGACAGCCATTCAAGTCAAAGGGATATTGAAAACTGTAGTCCAACCCTACTGATGAATCTCACAACAGTTCGATGTTATGATGCGATCTGATGTAACTGATCGTAACATTTACAGATAGCACAACTAATTTAAATCAGGATTCAAAAGCCAAATAAGAGGAACAACTTTTTGCTTTCATTTTCACTTTAATGTAAGTGACAATTGTTACCTTTGTTATGAAAACGCTAGTGATGCTTTCTGGATTATCTCCTTCTGGGTTTGGGGGTCCCAAAAGCTGTTCACCTTCTCCTTTTTCAAAACTGTACAAAAAAGCAGGATTCAGGATATGTTGCAGCACCTACAGAATATAAACAAAAAAAAGTTATATTCATCTATCTGATTCTTCTAACAGCAGTCAACATTCAAGTAATTTCACATGCAAACCTGCATGGTAGACACACTCACTGCATTATAGAAGGAAGCTATAAATAAAACCTGAAGAAACAGATACACACAGACTTTTTTGCCCTCTTTTTTTTCCTCCAAGGGCAAAGATTTTCAGAAAGTGTAAGCTAAAGTAGTCAGCATTGAGAGCAAGATGAATTGCTGTCTCTGTTTATTATCGCTCTTCTTCAGGTATGATATTTTCACTTAAATGGCTCTGCCAATTATCAAACTCGTTGACATTTAAGTAAGCGAGTTTTGTTGCCCTAGTTCCCAAGAAGAAAATTAAACCTAAATACCAGGCTTCTTTGATATAATTGCATTAGTTACCTTGGCTTTGAGCTCATCTCCAAAGTTTGGGTCATTGAAGTCTACAAACCGGAAGAACAAAGCCCGTTTTTGGAGAATACTGTAGTTTTTGGGGATCTCTTCTTCCATGTATTCCTTTAAGAAAGTCATATTGCAGAGAAATCGACCCGTAAAAGCCCGAAGCAACTGGAAGAGCAACTCTATATCACCATAATTCCTTCTGTAAAAACACAAAATAAAAAGGTTCTGTGAATACCCAACCAAACTTCTATCCTGATGACAGTGTAGAAACTAATCTTGGTTTTAAATGAACAGAGAGTCAAGAGCAGGCAGTACCAGAGGCACGGTTTTAGAGCTAATGGCATTACTATGAAATATACTAAAATTTCACTTCAGTAACTACAAGCTTTTTATTACAGCTGTATACCTTCAACAATGTTTTCAAAAATTTTAAAAAAAATAGAAGCGTAGGCAAGCTATAGGAATTAAATCTTTTTACGTACTTGCAGTAATTCAGTAAGCAATATGCTAATAGCTTAGGTTCTTTCCAATTTGTTGCAGCCATATTCTCCTTCCGATGTCTCTCTTGAAAAGCTTCACTCACCCATACACGTTTCAGCTGATTCACCAAGGAATGTTGATTTGCTAACCAACATTCATCATTCTTAACAATAATACTTATGATCTGTCAAAAGCAAGACAAGATAAATGCACAGTCAACATGCAACAGATTTGTCAGTAAAAACAATATAAAAGCATTTCTTTAAGGTCAATTAAGGGTTCTAAAATATGCCAAAAACATCAAATAAGACCTAGTCTGTACAGTGTTTAAAGGAGTTTTTGTTTAAGTTTCTGCTGCCATGAGTGCTCCTGTATCTTACTTGATTAAAGCATAGTTCGTTTGAGTCTCATTTCCCTTCCTAGAGCGGCTCTGACTACAAACACTACATTTTTACAAGTGTTTATTCTGCAAGCTATAATATATATGCACACTTCAAAACCTGTATTTTAACAGGCCTGTAGCTAAAGAGGTTTTAAGTAGCTAGTGCAGAGACAAACAAGAATAAATTAATACCTTGATAGCCTGAAACTGAAGATCGAGACGCATTGTGGTAGTGCTTGGAGAACCAGGTCTAACAGCTGCTTGGGTACCAACAGGTAACAGCAGAGTGATAAATCGGTTAGGATTAGCTGCCAGTACATCTCGTAGAGGCTTGGCATCTTTATGTTTTAAGAAACTCTGAAGAAAGGGAAGAAATAATTTTAATAACAACCTTTAAAAGCAAAAATACCAAAAGGCTATATCATCCTGTAGCTTTTATATCCCTCACTGAAGTTGCAGAGGTTGTATTTCACATATATAAAAATAACATCTACAACTTCAGTAATAAACCTGCATGATCTGAAAAGGTATAAAATCAACACCTCAGGACAAACAGATACAGAATGGAGAGCAGGCACCCTACAGTCAGAGCAAGACCCTGATTAAGGACTACAAGGTCACATGGGGGAGGGGGGAAAGATGGAAAAGATGAAAAACTTTATCAGATTTGTGAAGATGAGGACTTTTTCCTGCTCCCCTCCCCACACAGCTTACCATAAACATTCTGCTCCACTGTGGATCATTTAAAGTGGCTTCCATCATGAACAGCTCCACAGTCTGGGATGGATGACGTGTCAAAAATTTTATGAGTGGTTCCCTGAATGGACTGCCAGCCTGAAAGATTCATAGAGCTTTAATTGAAAGTGCAGAGTACAGAGTATTTTCTACTAATTTACTAGCACTTGAAACACATTTGACTTGGCATTTATGCAGATACAAGATGTTCAGAACTTCTACGATGGGAATTTATTGATAATTTCGAAACTTCATTTTTAAGAATCTAAGACAAATGTTAACACCTCCTAAAAGGCTTAAAGAGCATATTTATTTATCACATCACATGTTCCCACACCATGTTTAAAACATTATATTTATTATATACTAATATTTAAAAATACTATAAAGCAGCAATATCAGCAATGTTAACTTCCACTTTTACCTCAATTAACATTGCTCGTTCTGTTTTCATAACAACTTCTAGCAGAGGTTTAACCAAGGTCTGAGGGGCAGCTGGGATCAGATGGAATAGATTTATAATTGCTGAACAAATCTTCATTTCCTACAGGTAAAAAGCACAATTAAAGTAATATTACCAGTTAAATATATAAAAACAGTATCACACATCCTAACGTAGCCGGTAACCAAATGCAAAGGGTTAACATATATACAGCATCTACTTACCATGATGTATGGAGAAAATTATTCTCGTGGAAGTTTGCCCTTCCTCCCTTGTAATATCATGATTTAACTTTATTTTCTTTGTCAGTATAGTGGCATTTTACAGGTAAGAACTAAACACTGTGTAAAGATGGTGACAGGGCAGCTACAGAGTGCTCACTGCTCTACACCAAGTACCTCGTGCATCAAAAAGCCAGACCTTCCTTTCTAAACAATTTCTCATACATCCCGCAACTCCAGACCAGACATGAAGGAAATGACAGACAGCTTTCTCACAGCACTGTTCAGTGTATCTTGGAAGCAGCTGATTACTTCAATCAGTATCTGTTTTCCTACTAGATACTAAATTCTTCTGAAATTCAAAGTAATTCTGTGTTTTGCTTTCACTGTGTAATTTAAATGGGGACTATATTTCAGTTAACCAGAGTGTGGAATTTCTAAAGTGAGAAAAGGGAAAAGAAAAAAGATAAAACAAAACATCCACGCTCATCATCCCTCTAAAACCAACTTCTAGGATACAGTATACAAATAATATTATCAAGTGCATTGCATTTCCTCAACTGAATTGAGAATACTCAAAGTATTAGGCCCCACTCCTTTAACATGATCTGCCTAGACAGACCCCCACAAGACAACTCTCATGGTTTGAAGTGCAGAACTGAGAACAAATATAACATCTTTCGAAAGCACTTATGCCTTAACAGAAACTAAAAATCCTGCTCTTCCTAGTACAAACATGCTTAACATCCTTAACAGCAATGGTATCAAAACAACTCTGCCACAGACAAACAGAAGACAATTCACAGCACTGCACTCAAAGGCACAATGCACTCTGCCCAAACACAACAATAAAACTAACAAATCACAGTTTAAAAGAAATAAAATAAATAAAACCAAACAAAAAAAACACAGCAACAAATAACTTCCTAGTGCCTCCACTGAGTTTCTCACCTCTACCCCTTCCGTGGCAGGCTGAACCAAAACAGAAGTCACAGCATGAAAAGAAAAAGCCCACAAAAATACCAAATAAGCAAACCAGTATATATTATTATTCAGGTTGCAGTCAGAAATCGACTTCAGTACGCTTATTTTCTCATCTCAAACTGAAAAGAATGGAGACAATGAGTATCTCCCATGCTCTGAATTGCTCTCCTAAGAATTAGGATGAAAAGCATCCTTTTTTCTACTTGTAATTGTTTAGAAACAGCTTCTCAAATAGTTGTACCAAATAAAAAGATACTGGAGATTATAAAATCAGGGGAAAGAATAGTTTAGCATCTTCAAAGACAAATTTGTCCAGCATCAATTCCGAAACCACGTTCAATACTTGAACTACCAAGCTATAAAGTCCTTCTAAAAGTCTGTAACGTCAAATTTCCACTGTGGTGCCACTGTTCATGAGAGGGACACTCAGAGGCAACCATCTATTCAAAACTTGTTTTTCAGTCACTAGACATGACCTAAAAACCCACAGCTTTCCTTGAGGAGGCGGGAAAGAGAGGAAGAAGGGATTTAAATCAAAGATCTTGCTCACTGGGCCAACTAATTAGATCTTAATCACTACATAATATGTTATAATTTCATTTATCTAAATAGACAAGTCACAGTTCAGAAACACATTACGACTGTCATAAAATTACTTAGGTGAATAAAGAACTTTGTTATTCTGGCATCAACGTGGATCTTTACAATAGTTGTTAATTATTATGCAGGATTTTTAACTGAAATTTTCAGTTTCTCTAGAATTGCCATTTACGTATGAAAACTCATTCTGTAGACTTTTGGCCTGTTTCATTAAGAAGCCTTGCTGACTAGACACTACCTGCACTATGCTGGAGAAAGCACGACACCACCAGCATCCCCACCACATGGCACCTTCATAACACGCTGCTCAAAAAAGGCAAAAACTCTTTAAGTCAGACGAGTTATCATAACAGCACTCTGTACCACTTCAGCCAGCAAACATATGGCTTTCCTGACCAATTCCACCCTCCGCTGTGTGTTTACCATCTCCTAAAGCTAACCGCTCGTTCACTCAGTCTGAATGATGCAACCTACTTCGATAACAATCCCCAACACTGCCTTTAAGTAAAACTCAGATTTTGGAATCTCACTATGGTCAAGAAGACATCAGAGTAAGTGAAAGGCCAGCTACAGTAACTGTGACCACCAGTTTCACCATCCCAGGTTTTCCACATTTAGAAGATACAATTACAGCACCGGCATACTGTACATATGGACACAGGAACACAGACTGCCATAGCAATTGTATAAAGACCACAATGTCTGTGCACCTCTTCAGTTTCCTAGAGTTTTTATTTTAAGGAAACTTTAGGGCAACAACCGGGGTAAAAAAGTAGTATTTCAATCAGCTTTGCAGCCACACGATTCTATCTGAAAGTGTTTCCATGGACTTTTCTCCTCCCTCAAGATGGGACAGTAGATTCCTTCTCAAGTGTCTGGGGTGCATTTCCCCCTCAACATACATAGGTTTTAAACCAACACTAAAAAAAAAAAAATACATGTTTGGGAGACTAAACACACAACTACATAGAAAACATCAACAGTAGACATTGAAAGCAGAATTCACAATTAGATGTGATTTAGGGACAACTAGAAACTGTTCTAGAGGTTCCACATTGTGGTTTGAAATACTATTGCTATAAAAACATCTGCTAAATATCTGCAACCACAACATCTGAAGAAAAGTGAATCCCAAAAGAAGAATATGAAGCTCTAAGAACCATCGACTTGAAAAAAATGTGCTTAACTGAAAAATGCACCATTTTTAAGGAAAAAATTCTACTCCATTAGAGAACATCAAGGTCAAATACAAAGCAATGACTACATTCAGATTTAAAAACTTTCTTTGCAATGACAGGAAAGAGTAATGAAAAGCCATTAAGCCATTTCCATGTTTTGAGGGAAATAAAAACCCAATCTAATTTCATTCTAATTTGAAAAACAAAGAAATTAATAAAGTTCCCCCCTATCCTTTCCTTGTTGCAATAACAAATCTCAACACATTGTAGAAGTTACCCAAAGCTTGACAGAATAAAGGAACTTCTGGTAATCTACATGAATCACCAGTGAAGCAGGAATTCCCTTCAGTGCCATATTGCCAACAGCATACAGTGCTGTCATTGCACTTATCATTTAACATTGATCAGCTTCCCATAGCCAACAATGAGGCCCTTAGTTTGGGTGGAAGAGAGATTTTAATGTGATTTCAATTAGTAAATACTAAACTTGGTTTTCATAAATAGTATTTAAAATTAACTGAGATTATAATGTTAATATGTATAATTTTCAAATTACTATGTTATGAACATCAAACATATTGGTGAAAAAAGAAGGATTATGCTGCTGAGCTCATCAGCCATTCCAATGAAGAACAGATTCTAAGCAGCAAATCCCAAGAAAAAAAAGCAACAACAAAACAAACGAATGAGCTGTTCTCACACCAACCTGTACAGAATAAGCTTTAAAATAACCATTGTCAGCAGATAAGAAGTTCCTCTTACTAAGATTTGTAACAAATATTCAACATGCATGTAAATTCATTAGCTTGTAACAAAACAGTGTGCAGTTACAGCAACATTTACAACTGAATGAGTTCTGCAATTCCGAAACATTAATACTATTTATGCCTTTTCTTCCCACATAAAAGCATTCATTAACTTACATTTCCATCACTCCGCTGTCCACCTTTGTGTGTAATAACTACAACTTCCATCCACTTACGCAGGTGTTGCTATAAAGAGAGGATAATTGGTATTATTGTTCTAATTACACTGTTCCATTTTAGCAGGTGACCACATATACTACAAGAAAAGAAGTAGAGACAGAAGTGATTGAAGAAAACAAACAAAGGGAATAATTATTAGTTATTTTCATTCCCCCAGATTGAATAGCATACTGCTGCTAAAAGTCCTCTGCGTATTCAAGAAAGCAGGGGTTATAACAGTACATACATTAAAAGGCACAAAAATCTGAAGTCTGATAGGCTTACACTTGTTTCATTATTTGTTTAATATGCACGCATTAAAATATTTAATTATCCATGGCAAAAAGATAAAGAATTCACATACACCATTTAAAAACTGCAAATAAGAACGGCCATACATAATCACATAATGGTAAGGCTTGGAAGGGACCTTCCTGCATTCCAGTTTGTGTCCGTTGCCCCTTGTCCTTATACCTTCCACAACTTTACAAATCAAGAAAACGACAAAACAGACTTAACCCACTACTAAGTAAAACATATTTTCAAGGGTTTTCTTAGTGTATTATACTGCTGGCACCTTGCTTAAAGATGAATTTGTCCAAGCAGTCCTCAGAATACCCGGGTATGTCTTCACTAGAAAAGAATGTCTTTTAACTTTCTGGTTTAGTAGTTCTTTAGAAATCAACTCAAGATATTTATTTCTTCCTATTAATTGTGAAACAAATCTTTTACTTCCAATATATATGCTGAGTCGCTACTAAATTGTTCTTTGACTTTTTAACAACACAAAATGTTAAAGAAAATTTCTTCTGGAAGAGCTGAAGAAAACCTGAATGAGCTTACCATCATCTGATCACAGAATTTGTCATTAAAAGAGTTTGGAAAAAGTCTAGTGACGGATGTCAGACGATTCACAACATTCAGTGTCAGACTTCGATAGTCTCCCAACATCATAAGCAATGGTCTCATGTGTGTATGAATTTGATCAACTTCTATGGTTGCTCCTTCCAAGAACTGCAAGAGAAAACAGGATTAAGACACAGATGGAGAGAGGAAGGACTTTTGTGCAAGCATTTTTCTTAAGATAAAGTCTGCTGACTTGATTTATTTTCTTTTATTTTGTACTTTCAGAATGCAATAGCTTAAACAATATTCATTACTGGAAATAAATACAGTGACAAGATGGATTTGGGGAGCACTGAAGTATTTCTGATGCACAGTAGGATATTCCATAAAATAATCAAGTGGGAGTTTTTAATTACAGATGGACTTAAAAACTGCCATAGCTATAAATTAAATATACAGCCATGGACAAACTACATAGACACTGTTATTAGGAACTGCCTGTGAATATGGCTGAAGGCAGCAGAGCAAATTTCTGTGTTACAATCCACATGCATTCAGAGTAACATAAAAGGTCAAGAGAACCTGGCTGCAAGCAACCAGAGAGAATACTTCCTGTCATAACCTAACATCCTGTGGGCATGGATTTATCACAGGAAAAAGTGCTCACAAAAATCTTACACCAAATGCATAGGTCAGAACAACCCTTATTTGCTCCTTCTTATCTCTCAACCCAAGTGTATTGTCAGCAAGCCATAAATAGTAAGTACATTCCCTTTCATGACTAGAGAGACATGAAAAGACAACATCTGACCTCTAACCAGTCAATGGCCCAAACGAACGTAAACCACCAGTATTACTGCAGTTATATTTCCTGTTACATGCCAGACAATCATTATAAAGAAACTATAAGTATTTTTATTTTAATTTGCTGTATGTAGAAGAATGGTATTAAAATCTTGCTGAATCAGAATTGGGCAAATCTACAGAGCAACAAATCATGATGAGTTAAAAACCTTTTCCACATACCTCCAGCGTTTTTACACTATAACCTAGCATCCACGGAACAGACAGTGGAGTGTAGCACCATGTAAGGATACTCATTCTGAGCTTAAACAGTACACACTCCTGTTTCTTGAGGTAACTGCCATACTGTGATCCAAAGTCCAACTCTGCTGTACTGCTTACTTTTCTAAAGCCAACTATGGGGTCTCTACCACTTCTTTTGGGAACAGAGAAGAAACAGGAGAAAAGCTTTTACAATAAAGCCAGGTATGCACCTTTGCAAAACTGCTGGGAAAGACTGACACTGTTTATTTAGAAAAGAAGATACATTTACAAAGACCAGACAAACAGAAAGACCAAAAGACCAGAGAGAAAGACTGAAAGACTTAGCATGGTCCCTGTCCACAGAGCTTATAGTGCTTCACCCAGAATAAAATTTTTACGGCTAAGTTCAAACGTCCAAAAAAACCACATTTGACAAACTTCATTATATTGGTGTCACTAATAAAAACTTAACAGAGCGGCCATTATTTCTTGTAGGGAACTTTCCTAAGAAACTTTGTAACAAGGAAGTAAAGCAGAGAGAACAATGGCCTCAACAGCAACATTGTTTTAATACACTAACCTTTCTCATGCACGCTTCTCCTGCCTCCTGCAGTTCATTATTTGTTGAATTAAGTGCCTTGAAAAGTGCAGCAATGATTTTCTCTCTTGACTGAGGCAAGTAATTGCAGGCAGCTAGAGCATCTGCAAATATCAAAGTAAATTTGTTCTCTTTGTTAACTTAATTTCAAAAGAGAGGGGAAAAAAACCTAATTCTACATTTCTCCTCTTCAAGTTTCTTTTATTTCATCTTAAATTACAGACAGCTAAAGCATAGCATCCTTTGCCAAAAGCAACAGGCATCATAAAACAGTAAAAGAATGGAAATTATATTAAAAGTCTCAAAATATTTTGGGTTCATTTCAGAAACTATATCCTAGTCATTATGAAAGCAGTGACACTTTCCCATTATTCTCCATTACACTGTGACCTCTAGACAGCCATCATCAGTCTTCAAGCGCTCAAGTTTTCTGCTGATCTTGGGAAGAAGACTGCCCGTTGCTTCACAAGGACACTTACCTACATCAAATTCTGGTTAGGAAGTTGTACTTACTTAAGGCTGCAATCCGAAGAGGTACAAGAGATGGAAGACTTTTGTAACAAGGCAGTTTCATTAAGGCAGCATCTTCAGCCTCGCACAAATTCAGTAACTAGGAAAAAAAACAAAAGCACAATCATTTAAGTACAGAATTGTGAATCACATTTGAAATGGTATATTATCAGTTACCTTTTGAGTCTATCACTCTCACCTTCACAAACTGTTTTTGAATCTACAGAGCTTTGTTTTTCTCTTAAGCAAAAAAAGACTATTCTTTGCATTGACAACTATACCCCACACCTGCCTTGCTAATTGCAATTACTGTTAGTATCAAAGACCTTCTGAACTTAAGTTTGGACAAGGCTGCAAGGAAACCAAGGGACTAGACAGCTTCTCTAAGTTTAGTCTACACACTAGTTTCATACCTGATTTTACTCAAACTGTTAGGGACTCAAAAACCTTAACAAGCAGTAATCTATGCCTTGGTGGTACAACGGTTTAATAGAAATACTGTGCATAAAGTAAGGCCTAAATATGAAAGTTAACAGTACAGACTAGGAGCGCAACACCAAATTTCATTTAATATATTTCACACACATTAGAATATTCTGCTTAGCTCAGAGCTATTATGTTGGAAGTAAATGCAGACCTCAGTTCACATTTCTCAAAAGGTAAATTGTTAGATTTTGGTGAAAGTTTAAAACGTACAGGTAAAATGCATATTTTTAACAATGAAAGTTCCAACACCATCACTACTCAACTACCTACATTCAAATACAAGAACATAAAAATAAAGTACCTCTGTGTAGAAAACCTTGTGTTCCACAACATTTAGATCCATTGTAAACAAGCGGGGTTGCAGGGTTGTGCAAAAAGTATTTCCCTCCATCAGGCCAATCTGGGCATTTGCAGGTTGATGCCTAAGTAAATGCTTTTTAGGAGGCACCATGTCTTGGAGAACCTACACAATGTAATGTATATTACCAAATGAGCAGTCTATTCAAATGACCCCACAGACCTAACCACTAAAAGACATCATCAGTCACGGCTCCCTTTGCTATCGTGGCTCCAGACGTACCTGTGTAGAAATCACTAAGCAAGAAGTATTTCTCTGAACAAATTTAATTCACGGTTAATTAGCAAAATAACTCAGTATCTGTAATTACTACATATCCTCTGTGAACATATCTATGATATTTAATAATTTCACATTATGTTATAAACAGCAAAGAAATTCAGACTCAAGCATTTGAAATGTTCAAGGCAAGAAACAAGATTATTTTAAGCTCCTAAAACATAAAACCAAAAACATTCATGTACTTTTTATCTATTACATGAACTTCTCACTCTTCTCCATTAACACCTTCAGCAAAATAAGCTGAAGCTCCTTCAACTAGGGAGCTTCTCTGTATGTTCCCAAATTACAGCAACAACTTCTATAATTTCATACCTTGTAGTGACCCTTAGGGTTTATGTACCTTTGCTTGTCTTGCAAGAGAATGAACGCTATTAGCTTTAAGGAGTATCTAGCAAAACGTGATTTCAACCAGCTTTGATCTTTATAGTCTCTTTCTGGATAGGGAAAGGCACAGTACTATGTCTCATATTTAGAGTAACACAAAATTGAGGTTCCAAATGCAGTATCTACCTGACCTAGCCTATGTTTGATTTCAGGAAGTAAATCAACCTGAAGGCACTATAAATACTAAGTAGTCAAACACAGCTTGTATGGATCTCCATAGCACACCAGTCACAATGTATTTTCAAACAACGAAACCTAGCAATTGACAAACATACACTATCAAAGCACTAAGAAATTGATTCACTAATGTGAGAAAACATACTCAGAAAAGCGTTTTGTCAATCCAAACTGGTAAACAACTTGGACTTTCAGTAAGTATTTCTGCTTACCTCTTTATGTGGCTCCATTATCACCGTGACACTTTTTCCAGTGACCTGTGCAAGTACCTGCAGCGAATGCATGGCCTGTTTTCTCACAGTAGAGTTTGGAGAGGTTACTTCTCGAACTAGATCATGCGTTACATGATGGAAAGACTTTTCCTGTGCTGCTAGGATTTCTTCTGTTTTTTCTTCATCTTTTAAAGGAGTTGCACATCTAATCAAAAGCTGTTCTAATGTGGTCTTTGCCATAGCAACTGCTCCATTGGAAACCTACAGTATCATAGATTATTTTTATTAAATAAGAACAGAACAAAGATCACAGATCTACACACTGCTCATTGACACACTTAGAATTTAATGAATCCTCTGCAAATGGCTAAAAACATATAAAGCTTAAGTAGAACACACATACAACTAGGCTTCCCACCAACCATCCCAAAACGGAGAGTTTCAATGCAACGCAATTTTATAAACTAACTCGAGTACTGGAACCTTTAGCAATGTTGTTACCATATGATTCACAACTGAGAAAAGGTCACACAGCCAATTCTCTAGGTGTCCATAACTACACATGGTTTTTTGATAAGATGAACATCTTTCAAACTAAGCATAAAAAGAAGACGGAAAACAACAAAAAAAAACAAAACCAAAACCAACAGTGCTTTTCATGCAAGCGACAGTGATTTTGCTGATTTGAATGCAACCTGTACATTTCTAGTTGTCGTGGTTTAGGCCCAGTGCATAAC